TCTTATCCGCTCGTCGTCCCCTTATGCCATAGTTTGTACATCTCAATTGTCAGTAGAAAGCACATTTGTTTAAGCAAGTCAGCCATATCAGCTATGTTTTTTTAAATGGCAGTAAATGAGGCTGAATGAACTGTTTCGCTGCCAGACAAGGCTCCGCTGATAGCCAAGTGTAGCAGTGGTAAGGATTCACTCCATGGTGCTGAAAAAAACCTCTGCTGTTGGGACAGCTTTATGTAGGTCCTAACAGTTTGTGGGCACCGTTTGTCACAGTTATTGTGCAATTAATGTATTGTTTAGTGTTGTGTTGTGTAGTGGCTTTGCTGGCATGCATCAACAAAAATTAATTGGGAGCTTGCCCCACCAAGATTTACATGCTAAAATTGCCACTGCGCACATAGAACAGATCTACCGCTTCTTAGACTTGCTTTCAAGTAGAATGATAGATCTATAACTCACATTTCTATGTGAATTTGGTCGGGTCGCCCAAAAAGGTACATATTGCCACTTTAAGTATCCATCTGTCCATAACATATCATACTATACTGTACAAAAATAGAAACGCAACATGTCAAGTGTTAGTCCCATGTTTCATGAGCTGAAATAAAAGATCCCAGAAATGTTCCATACGCACAAAAAGCTTATTTTTCTCAAATGTTGTGCACAAATGTGTTTACATCCCTGTAGTGAGCATTTCCTGCAACTCATTTGCAGGAAAAACTTTGGAGCAAGGCCCACCCACTGGGGAGCCAGGCCCAGCTAATCAGAATGAGTTTTTCCTGCAGTCAGCATGCCAATTGCACGCCCCCTTAAAACTTGAGACATCTGTGGCATTGTGTTGTGTGACAAAACTGAACATTTTAGAGTGTCCTTCTATTGTCCCCAGCACAAGGTGCACCTGTGTAATGATCATGCTGTTTAATCAGCTTCTTGATATGCCACACCTGTCAGGTGGATGGCTGCGCCCCTGCCCAGTCATGTGAAATCTATAGATTAGGGACAAATAAATGTATTTCAATTGACTGATTTCCTGATATGAACTATAACTCAGTCAAATCTTTGAAATTGTTGCATGTTGCATTTATATTTTTGTTCAGTATAATTTGAGTGTCCCATTTACTATGTTACGTCTAGTCTATGAAACCAAGCTGGGTAATCTGGTAAGGGGTAATGATGATTGAAAAATGTCCTGGATGTAACTTTGGCCAGGGCATCAGGGTTTCAAAGGTCGGTCAAGACACATCAAACCAACCTCTTCTGTTCCTGGGACAGCAACAATACATTACACCCAAAAGTGAGAAGAAAACTGTTGTTCAACTGTGCAGCTATTGAAAATAAGGTTGCATGAGGATACATAAGGGTTCATTTTATAAGCATTTGTAAGTGCATTTATAAATGGTTAATAACTGGAGGTTTATATTGGGTCAGTATTTGGCAAACACTGACCAGTTATTCCACTACTTTGACCCATGCGATAGAACCGTTTACCGTTAAGGCATTTACAAAGTATTAAATAGCCGTTAATAAGGTAATTACAACCTTTTAGAAACCCTTTACAAATGGAACCTTATTGTAAAGTGCTACCCGGAAGCCTTTGTGTATTTTTGTCCAACACCGTTCCGAATAACAGCTTTTGCCCAGAAATACTCTGCTATTTTTCCAGGAATGAGCTTACGGTGCATGGCCATCTGGTCAAATTACTCTCACATCAGTGGCTTTGCTACATAAGGCCACAAACCTATATTATATTCCCTGCTCTCTTTTACCACAAATGTAAGACCCTTCTTTACTGTCAATTCACAGCAAAATAATAAGATACCAAAAAATGCAAGAAAAGTTAAAAACTATTTCTTAGCTAAATGTGTTTCTTGTCGTTGGCCGTCACATAGTCTCCCAGCACAGCCAAAATATATATTTTATATTTTTCTAAAATGTCTTATAAAAGTAGATATATTTATCAGCACCAATGTGTGGGACTGTGCCCATTACCTCAGTGTGTTTGCCAAATGTAAAATGTAAATAATGTGTTCGCCAACTGCGAAATAATATGACGACAGCCAGGGTTTGTAGTGGGCGGGGTTAACTCGTGGGGGAGGATCGGCTTAAAGGTGAAAGTTGAACGATTTGCATTTTGTTGTCTTTTGTGCTAAGCAGGAGAGTGGAGCCCGATCAAGCAGCAGCGTCTCTTCCCTCTTCCCCGAATCCTTTTAAAACTCCCTCCCGAACCTCTCCCCTTCTACCCTACCCTTCCCCTAAACACACCTCACGGGACTGTTCAGGTAAGGCTGCCCTAACTACTGAATTTTCTTTGGAGTGTGAAGGACAGAGTTAACTGCGCCTGAATGAGTCAGGACCTAGGCCGCAACATTCAAAATAGTGGATTATCGTCACATGCTAGGCTAGCTTGCTAGCATTGTGCTCATTCTGATTTGATTAGTTACGTTAGTTAGCTGACGTTAGTTGCTACTATCCGTTTCTAGTTAGCTATAGCGCACATTGCACAATATTGATTTCGCTATCCACATTCTACCAAGAGTAGGGACCGTTTTTAATTCATTGGTTCATCAACTTTAGGTTTTTCAACTAGCTAACTAGCCAATGTCACTAGGGTTACTAGCTAGCCGTGTTGCTAGCAGGTCAGCTAACTCCTTATCATACTACAAACAGGCAATTGGAGCTAACTATTTGGCTTTCTTTGCCAATTATTATCCGCTATAACAAGCAATCTGGTTATCCATCAAAATAATGAACTTACAATTTTTTGCTACGTTTAAGTAATTTGTTAGCGTTACGTTGGCTAGCAGCTACTGACTATTACTAGTTAGCAAACGTTAGCTTTGTTAAATCAGTGTTTTGTATATTCAAGGTGTAAATAAATGTAGCTAACTTTAGTTAGTAGCTACGTCTAGTTTCCTTGCTGCATAATCATTAGCCAGTTAGCTAGCTACACTATTTCTGAATCAATACACAACAATGTGAACGGAGTTAGTGAACCTTGGGTGTAATGAAACAAGTTCAGCAATGGGATTCACTTATGAGATGAATTTAACGTTAGTCTTCAGATGCTTTTGGGAAACCAGGCCCTGGTCAGCACTCTCAGCAGCTAGTTTCACTGTTTTTAGCAGAACCAATTACGTTCTAGAAACAATATACAGTACCAGTCAAACGTTTGGACACACCTACTCATTCCATGGTTTATCTTTATTTTGTACTATTTTCTACATTGTAGAATAATAGTCAAGACATCAAAGCTATGACATAACACATATGGAATCATGTAGTAACCTTTTTTTTTACATGTCAAAATGTATTGGAGATTATTCAAAGTAGCCACCCTTTGCCTTGATGACAGCTTTGCACACTCTTGGCATTCTCTCAACCAGCTTCATTAGGTAGTCACCTGGAAAGCATTTCAATTAACAGTTGTGCCTGCTTAAAAGTTAATTTGTGGAATTTCTTTCCTTCTTAATGTGTTTGAGCCAATCAGTTGTGTTGTGACAAGTAAGGGGTGGTGTACAGAAGATAGCCCTATTTGGTAAAAGACCAAGTCCATATTATGGCAAGAACAGCTCAAATAAGCAAAGGGAAACAACAATCCATCATTACTTTCTGACATGAAGGTCAGTCAATCTGTAAAATGTGCTGTCGCAAAAACCATCAAGCGCTATGATGAAACTGGCTCTCATGAGGACTGCCACAGGAATGGAAGACCCAGAGTTACCTCTGCTTTAGAGGATAAGTTCATTAGAGTTAACTGCACCTCAGATTGCAGCCCAAATAAATGCTTCACTGAGTTCAAGTAACAGACACATCTCAACATCAACTGTTCAGAGGAGATTGTGTGAATCAGGGCTTCATGGTTGAATTGCTGCAAAGAAACCACTGCTAAAGGACACCAATAAGAAAAAGAGATTTGCTTGGGCCAAGAAACACGAGCAATGGACATTAGACCGGTGGAAATCTGTCCTTTTGGTCTGGTGAGTCCAAATTTGAGATTTTTGGTTTCAACCGCCGTGTCTTTGTCAGATGCAGAGTAGGTGAATGGATGATCTCTGCATGTGTGGTACCCACTGTGAAGCTTGGAGGAGGTGGTGTGATGGTGTGCTTTGCTGGTGACTCTGATTTATTTAGAATTCAAGGCACACTTAACCAGCATCGCTACCACAGTATTCTGCAGTGATACGCCATCTCATCTGGTTTGCGCATAGTGGGACTATCATTTGTTTTTCAACAGGACAATGACCCAAAACACACCTCCAGGCTATGTAAGGGCTATTTGACCAAGGAGAGGGATGGAGTGCTGCATCAGATGATCTGGCCTCCACAATCACCCGACCTCAACCCAATTGAGATGGTTTGGGATGATTTGGACTGCAGAGTGAAGGAAAAGCAGCCAACAAGTGCTCAGCATATGTGGGAACATCTTCAAGACGGTTGGAAAAGCATTCCTCATGAAGCTGGTTGAGAGAATGCCAAGAGTGTGCAAAGCTGTCATCAAGGCAAAGTGTGGCTACCTTGAAGAATCTAAAATATATTTTGATTTGTTTAACACTTTTTTGGTTACTACATAATTCCATATGTGCTATGTCATAGGTTTGATGTCTTCACTATTACTTTACAATGTAGAAAATAGTAAAAATAAAGAACCCCTTGAATGAGTAGGTGTCCCAACTGTTGACTGGTACTGTAAGTAAATTAGCTAAATCCTGTAAAATGTACTTATTATGACTGTGAACTATGGTTGTCTCACCTAGCTATTGTAAGATAAATGGACTAACTGCAAGTCGCTCTGGCGTCTGTTAAATGACAAATGTAAAAATGTAAGTCAGTAGTACTGGTGGTTGGTTGCTTGCTTGAATACATTTTTTCCATCAAGTGTTTGCCATCTTTAAGTTAACACTTCTAGTTTTTTTTCTCCTCTTCTCCCTCTTGTCTTGCAGACCTGATAATTGTGACCAAAGACTACTTCTTGGCCAATCTAGACTTCAGACACTACAGCAGCTATGGACACCGGTGTGATTGAAGGAGGGCTCAATGTCACACTAACCATTAGACTACTTATGCACGGAAAGGTGAGTGTGCACAGGAGATGGACGATAAGAGTTATGACCATTACACCATGGTTGTTCCGTTCACACACCTCATTCATTACTGTGTAGTCAGCATAAACCTCGTCACAAACCAGGCTTCCCTGAAATGGAAAGCCTGGGGAAGTTCCGTTGCAGAAATCAGCTAGATGGGTGGGAACCCGGTGTAAATCAGTGACTCCTCGCAACACGTCAAACCAATCAAATGCCTTGATTGGACGGCGCTCCAAAGGTGCACACCAGATTAGTGCCGTGGGCGCAACGGAGGAGCAACTGTACGTGAGGACTAAAAATGTAAACAAAACAAGCACTGGTCCCAAAACATTTTAGAAAGTTTGCAGCACGCTGGTTTTCACAGCATTTCTCTGTTCTTTCGAGATGACCTAAAGCTGCAACGAGGGGAGAAATGGTCTACAATGGGCATATCAATATATTTACTTCGGACTTTTCTGAAGTGATATATGGCTGTAAAGGCTAGCATGAGGGACAAGAAGTAGCTGGCCACAATGAGGTTAGTTTTGAGAAAAGTCGGCTAACCTTGTAAGCTACCTAGGTATAACTAACTAGCTAGTTAAATTTGTCTTAAGATTATAAAGCCAACAATTGTTTTTATAAAAACAGCATATTATTGACCTGAAAGGTTAGTTGTGTTAGCCGAGTCGCTACCCAGGGACAGTGATACATAGAGCAGACCATGGTTGCTCTATCTATGGGAACAACTGCAATCATTTTGTAAGCAACATTGGTAAAATGAATTAAATAAAATGAACCACATATAATGTTACCTATAATGCTCATCTCCTGTAACCTAATGGTCATCTGCTTATTTTCACAATGGACCTAAATTACAAGGGTTGGATTTGCAATAAACCATTTTATGTCAGCACTTAATCCCTTAGAATCGATTGGATGCGCCTCAATCCGCCTATTTCGCACTTCTGCATCTGTGGTGGCAGAGCTACAGCGGCGTTTGTCAGACCATGAGACCTGAAAATCGGTCTTCTCACGTAGCGAACGATTTCACCTAAAAACTATTATAACCACTCTATGGCAAGGGGAGATTCTCACTAACACGATGGTGTCCCCACAAGTGTCAGGGGACTCGTCTGAAGTCGGTACCATTGATGCGCCAACTTCTGTTTGTAGCGTCCAAACCGTTTGGGCTACAATCTAATGTGACCCCACTGTGGAAAGGGAGATTCTCACGAACATGATGGTGTTCTCCATTTTGCAAGTGTCACAGGACTCGTCTGAAGGTAACCGGTACCAGTTCACATTTTTATGGAGGTATGTGGGTAGATTTGTGCCTACCCAAAAAAACAGGGTTAAATATGTGTTAAAAATAGATATCTATCTAGCCTGAGCATTCTTATATCTCCCATATATAGGACAGACACTTCAAACCCTTGCTTCTTATGATTTATTTTCTAACCGTTTTTTTTTGCCATTTATGAATGTGTTATTCAATGCATTTCTCTGGGCTATAGTAGTAAAGGCCATATGAAATATTTGATCAAATATTTTTAATATATTTTTTTATTCATTTGAGAATACTGCACAGAAACACGGACACATTACAGACCACCCCTTCCCCTCTTTATTGCAGGATTGTGACATGTAATTAATCTACATTGACACTAGTTAATTTTGAATAATAGTTTAACAATTAAAACAAGTTTAAACACTTCACTTCAAAGAATCAACACTTCAAAATGTACAAATTAGGTAACTCGTATGTAAAGATTAGACATCTTAGTCTAAACAACATTAGATAATTGAGTAGTAACCAGTAGGCTATTATGACTAAAGCATCATTTCAGGTGAACAAAAACAAATAAACTCCATACCAGCGGTGGCCAAGCTTGCGCCACTGATCCTTGATCTACTGGGTGAGCAGACATCTATTCCAGCCCAGCAATAGCACACTTGATTATCACCTAATTAGATTTGATAAGTTGAGTCCGGTGTGTTATTGCTGGGCTGGGCCCTGCACACCCGGCATACTCCAATTTGTAATAGGTTTATACATTGTGTGTAATGTTTAACAGTATTTTTGTATACAACATTTGCTAACATAGGTAGACCTACACATATAACCCATGGCATATAGGATATACCTTTAGTCTCTTGGGACATTCATTGGGACCTCTCTCTTCATCTGCAAACAGGCGTTTCACAGCTTTCCATATCTGAGGACAGAAAACATTACAAAGAAACAGGCTTCATTCTACTCAAATTAGACAGCACTGAATATTATGTTGCTATTATCTCTCTTTCCTCAAAGTTTTCCCCCCCTAGGCACTGGAACTAGATAATCTTTTCATGTCTCCACATAATTACCTGTCCTATCCAGAAGCCTATGCTATCCCTTTACTGACAGCTGGAGCTGCAATTTCACCCTCTTCCATGGCTGTTATCTACAAATGCATTTGGAGACAGTTTTAAATGTACAATGATTACATCACGATAGCTAGCTAATAGGATGTTAGCTAGCTGATGACAGTTTAATTCATTTAGCTAAACACTGTGTAAAGTTAGCTAGCTAGCAGCTCAGTTGTGTTAGCCTACAAAGTGGCCTACTGTAGCTAGCTTAGCTAAAAATACATTGTGTAAAAAAAAAAACTACTACATATATTTACTTGCTTGAATAAGTGCAGCTGCCATGTGGACGAATGGAGACAAGGCAAAAATTATGTTTGTCACCAGAGCAGTTTAGAACGTGTTGTGACGTTTGAATTTACCAGCGCAATCCACTTGAAATTTCAATAAATATAAATCGCAGACAGTCGGCCACACTTGATAACTGGAAAACTAGCACTTGAAACTAGCATAGGCAACAACTACCCGGACGGAGAACAGTGGTGCACATAACACACAGCACCCCTTCTACGGGCGTGTGGAGGGAGGGTTCTTGAAATGTAACATCCAATCAAAATCCCAGCGGACCATTCAAACCGTTTTTGCAATAAAAAATTATCCAGACCTCCAACAGAGGCGTAACAACAACTTGCTTTTTGGAGGTATGGCAAACATTTCTAAACCTGTTTTTGCTTTGTCATTATGGGGTATTGTGTGTAGATTGTGGTCCTCTGTAGCTCAGCTGGTAGAGCACGGCGCTTGTAACGCCAAGGTAGTGGGTTCGATCCCCGGGACCACCCATACACAAAAATGTATGCACGCACGACTGTAAGTCGCTTTGGATAAAAGCGTCTGCTAAATGGCATATTATTAGGTTGATGAGGGGGGGAACAAACTATTTAATCCATTTAAGAATAAGGCTGTATTGTAACAAACTGTGGAAAAAGTGAAGGGGTCTGAATACTTTCCAAATAAAATGTACATGGATAACTTGCATATAATAGAAAATACTGCCATAGACAGGTTTCTTTCAATCTTGAGTAAAGCTTTTGTAAAGTGAATATATATATATATTTTTAAGATGGATTAGTGATTTAATGTGTTGCTGCTTTTCTTGTCTGCAGGAGGTTGGAAGCATTATTGGCAAGGTGAGTGTGCCTTTTTCCTGATGTTTCACTGTGTTCGGCACTTTTCATTCATGGCTGTGACTGTTGTGTAAACATTGTGCTTCCTTTGCTTTATCTGCAGAAAGGAGAGTCTGTGAAGAAGATGAGAGAGGAGGTGAGTTGTCTGTCATTGCATGGATGGAAGTATTGAAAGTAGTTTGAGAGAAGTATTCTAGACATTTTCCATTTCTGATGACTCATGCTTGAGGGTTGGCAGATTGCAATTTTAGAACCAAAATCAGGCCAGCACTGACTAATGAAGCATTAACGACTGAATTCGTAAATGTGATTAAATATATTGTCTTAATATTTTAGCATTGTCATTAGCAAACAAGTTAATAACATGTTATGTCCATGTGACTGTTTGTCTTATGCAGAGTGGCGCTCGTATCAACATCTCTGAGGGGAACTGCCCAGAGAGGATCATCACCCTGGCAGGCCCCACCACCGCCATCTTTAAAGCCTTCTCCATGATCATCGAGAAGCTGGAGGAGGTTCGTATTACTCCTAACTACAGATTTCAAACAAGCCATATAGAACACTTCAATCAGGCTGTAAAATATTACTACGAAATTGAAATAATATTTTTACCGCACCCATGAAAAATACTGAATTCTGGAGTAAGACATTCAGATTTTGCATAGTAAAGATCATAAAAAAAAATCTATAAAGGCCTAGTCTTTGGACTGAAGCCATCCTCATCAGTGTCTCTTGTTTTCCGTTCGATTCCCTACAGGACATCAGCAGCTCAATGACTAACAGCACGGCCACCAGCAAACCGCCAGTCACCCTGCGCATCGTGGTGCCTGCCAGCCAGTGTGGTTCCCTCATCGGCAAGGGCGGCTGCAAGATCAAAGAGATCAGAGAGGTACGTACAGTACACCCACACAAGTATATTATTCTACTAATTATAAATGATCACCCCCCGGTCTCTGTAGATGAACTGTGCCACCAGATATTCTAAAGAGAACTCTGAACACTATTGTTGACCCTCCTGTCTGTCTCTCTCTCCAGTCGACAGGAGCTCAGGTACAGGTGGCAGGGGACATGCTGCCTAACTCCACGGAGCGTGCCATCACCATTGCAGGGACCCCCCAGTCCATCATCGAGTGTGTCAAGCAGATCTGCGTCGTCATGCTCGAGGTAGTAGTATAGGAACAATGGCGCACTACCCCCTTTTTGTCTTGTATTTTCTATTTCATCAGAGATGTTGCTTAGCTTGCTGATTGGTATATAATTGTCCTACATTGAAGTGTCTGCAAAATAACTACTGTTGTTATTTTCCAGTTCCTAATGGTTGATTTGTTTCTCTCTCTCCTCAGTCTCCGCCTAAGGGTGTAACCATCCCTTACAGGCCCAAACCCTCAGGCTCTCCTGTCATATTTGCGGGTGGTCAGGTAAATAAACCAACCTCATTCATCTGTAATTCATATGTCAGCTGTTTTCTAATTAAGTGTCCCTTTTTAAAATGATAGCATTGTCAGTTGTTTAAGGGAAGTTTAATAACACTGTCTGTTTCTACATTGCTGTAGTGTATTGTTCTGCATTGTGCAGATGTCAGCACCATTGCCAAATCCCCTCCAATAGTTGTAGAGTAGCTGAGTTGTCAGATGGGTTGAATACCAGCTGGAGGGTGCATATGCGTCACCTATATGTCCATATCGTTGTTTGTGAGTGTGTTGATGTCTGAATTACCCCATAGCGTTCTCATTCCAGACATCCAAGGACATGGCTGCGTTTTGACAGGCAGCCCAATTCTGATCTTTCTTTCCAGTAATTGGTCTTTCGACCAATCACATCAGATCTTTTTCAGAGCTGATCTGATTGGTCAAAATACCAATTGAGTGCTAAAAAGATAATAAGTGGGCTGCCTGTCTAAATGCAGCCATAGGTCCCCAGGATACTACAGCCTGTGAGTGTACTCTTTGTGCCCGTTTCCCGCGCACCCTCCTAAGTGCTGCTCTCTCATTGCAGGCATATGCTGTTCAAGGACAGCACGCCATTCCACAGCCTGACGTAAGTGAAGGTCATTCTGTAAGTGAGCCCATATATCTACACATCAACCCTCCTGGGTAGTCATGGCTACCCACCCTCTATTACATGCTGTACGTTTTGTTTTTCCCCCAACCACTCTAGTTCCATTTTTAAGTTTCAATCAATAAATGCAATGCAGTGATGCATCGCTAAGGCCTACTGGTACTTTTAAACACAGTTTGAGTTCAAATGATTGTTGCCATGTGTATCGTTTAATTTCTTTGCACATCAATTATGTTTGTTAGAAATTCTGAAATTAGGCATTGATGACTTATTGGCTGATTTTGTTTGTGATCCTATGCTAGCCTTCTACTGTCAATCTATTGTTTTGTGTTTAGTTGCAGAATTTTTTGACTGCACACACATTTATTGACAGCATATGGGACTGTAAAGTAGGGATATGTAAGGATGCACAATTTCAGCCTTCGCATCGGTTGATAGTGGCCTAAAGAAATGTGTAGGATGATAATATCATAGCCAATATTTTGTCCAGATATTTCAGTGTTAAATCTGAGCCACTAATATTTTATCGGTATTGGACGAATGTTTATGTGCATCGCTATGGCTATACTGAGTATACAAAGCATTAAGAACACCTGGTCTTTCCATGACCTAGACTGACCTGGTGAAAACACTTATCGTTAAATCCACTTCAGTGTAGATGAAGGGGAGGAGACAGGTTAAAGAAGGATGTTTAAGCCTTGATACAATTGAGACATGGATTGTGTATGTGTGCCATTCAGAGGGTCAATGGGCAAGACAAAATATTTAAGTGCCTTTGAATGGGGAATGGTAGTAGGTGCCAGGTGCACCGGTTTGTCATTTTGTATGAAGAATGGTCCACCACCCAAAGGACATCCAGCCAACTTGACACAACTGTGGGAAGCATTGGAGTCAAGGGCCAGCATCCCTGTGGAACACTTTTGACACCTTGTAGAGTCCATGCCCCGAAGAATTGAGGCTGTTCTGAGGGCAAACGGGGGGGGGGGGGGGGGGTAACTCAATATTAGGAAGGTGTTCCTAATGTTTGGTATACTGTGTGTGTTATTTATTTACATATATATATACTACCAGTCAAAAGTTTGGACACCTACTCATTCAAGGGTTTTTCTTTATTTGTACAAAACATTTTTGTACATTGTAGCATAATAGTGAAGACATCAAAACAATGAAATAACACATGGAATCGTAGTAACTAAAAAAGTGTTAAACAAATCAAACTTTTTTTATTTGAGTTTCTTCAAATAGCCATCCTTTGCCTTGATGAAAGCTTTGCACACTCTTGGCATTCTCTCAACCAGCTTCATGAGGTAGTCACCTGGAATGCGTTTCAATTAAAAGGTGTGCCGCCTTAAAAGTTAATTTGTGGAATTTCTTATCTTAATGTGTTTTACCTAATCAGTTGTGTTGTGACAAGGTATACAGAAGATGGCTCTATTTGGTAAAAGACCAAGTCCATAATATAGCAAGAACAGCTCAAATAAGCAAAGAGAAACGGCAGTCCATCATTACTTTTTAAGACATGAAGGTCAGTCAATCCGGAACATTTCAAGAACTTTGAAAGTTTCTTCAAGTGCAGTCTCAAAAACCATCAAGCTCCTATGATGAAACTAGCTCTCATGAGGACTGCCACAGGAATGGAAGACCCAGAGTTACCTCTGCAGGGGATAAGTTCATTAGAGTTACCAGCCTCAGAAATTGCAGCCCAAATAAATGCTTCACAGAGTTCAAGTCACAGAAACATTTCAACATCAACTGTTCAGAGGAGACTGTGTGAATCAGGCCTTCATGGTCGAATTGCTGCAAAGAAACCACTACTAACGGACACAAATAAGAAGAAGAGACGTGCTTGGGCCAAGAAACACGAGCAATGGACATTTGACTGGCGGAAATTTGTCCTTTGGTCTGGAGTCCAAATTGGAGATTTTTGGCCGTGTCTTTGTGAGACGTGGTGTGGGTGAACGGATGATCTCGGCATGTGTAGTTCCCACCGTAAAGCATGGAGGAGGAGGTGTTATGGTGTGGGGGTGCTTTGCTGGTGACAATGTCTGATTTTATTTAGAATTCAAGGCACACTTAACCAGCATGGCTACCACAGCATTCTGCAGCGATACGCCATCCCGTCTGGTTTGGGCTTAGTGGAACTATCTTTTTTTTTTTTCAACAGGACAATGACCCAACACACATCCCAGGCTGTGTAAGGGCTATTTCATAGTTGTGATGTCTTCACTATTATTCTACAATGTAGAAAATAGTAAAAATAAAGAACAAACCTTGAATGAGTAGGTGTCCAAACTTTTGACTGGTACTGTGTGTGTGTGTGTGTGTATCTATCTATCACACACACAAATATGTGGACACCCCTTCAAATTAATGGATTTGGCTATTTCAGCCACACCTATTGCTGACAGGTGTATAAAATCGAGCACACAGCCATGCAATCTCCATAGACCTACATTGGCAGTAGAATGGCCTTACTGAAGAGCTCGGGGACTTTCAACGTGGCACCGTCATAGGATGTCACCTTTCCAACAAATCAGTTCGTCAAAGTTCTGGCCTGCTAGAGCTTCCCCGGTCAACTGTAAGTGCTGTTATTGTGAAGTGGAAATGTCTAGGAGCAACAACTGCTCAGCCGTGAAGTGGTAGGCCACACAAGCTCACAGAACGGGACCGCCAAGTGCTGTAGCGCGTAAAAATTGTCTGTCCTCGGTTGCAACACTCACTACCGCGTTCCAAACTGCCACAGGAAGGAAAATTTGATTTGATTAATACCAAGCGTCATGTCTGGAGGAAACCTGGCATCATCCTTACGATGAAGCATGGTGGTGGCAGCATCATGCTGTGGGAATGTTTTTCAGCGGCAGGGACTGGGAGACCAGTCTGGATCGAGGGAAAGATGAACGGAGCAAAGTAGAGAGAGATCCTTGATGAAAACTGCTCCTGTGTGCTCAGGACCTCAGACTGGGGCAAAGGTTCACCTTCTAAAAGGACAACGACCCTAAGCACACAGCCAAGACAATGCAGGAGTGGCTTCGGGACAAGTCTCTGAATGTCCTTGAGTGGCCCAGCCAGAGCCTGGACTTGAACCCTATCGAATATCTCTGGAGAGACCTAAAAATGGCTGTGCGGTGACGCTCCCCATCCAACCTGACAGAGCTTGAGAGGATCTGCAGAGAAAAATGGGAGAAACTCCCCAAATACAAGTGTGCCAAGCTTGTAGCGTCATACCCAAGAAGACTCGAGGCTGTAATCGCAGCCAAATGTGCTTCAAGAAAGCACTGAGTAAAGGGTCTGAATACTTATGTAAATGTGATATTTCAGTGTTTGTATTTTTAATAAATTTGCAAAATTAATAAATTTGCTTTGTCATTATGGGGTATTGTGTGTAGATTGATTGATTTAAAAAATATATTTTTTAATCCATTTTAGAATAAGGCTGTAACGTAACAAAGTGGAAAAAGTCAAGGGGCGCTGTGTGTTCATGCTGATCATAACCCTGTGTATCTTCTGGCTTATAGTTACTCTCTTTTTCCTTTCATCAACCCCTCTCTCTCATCCTTTCCCTCTCCATGTATCCATCTCTCTCTCCACAGCTTACCAAACTCCACCAGCTGGCCATGCAGCAGAGCCCTTTCCCCATCGCTCCCAACAACCAGGGTTTCCAGGGTAGGTCAACCGAGGAAGAATGGAGACAAGAAGCATTTGATTATTTGTTTGTACGTTGCATTGTTTGCAATATTTGCTTTGTAGACACTGACTTGTGTTTTCTCGCTTTAGCTGGGATGGATACTTCTGCACAAACTGGCTCCCATGAGCTGACCATTCCAAACGATGTAAGTGTCCCCGTCCACTCTGGAATTCTCTTCCTTACTTGTTCTAGATGCTTCAGCCAAAGTTTCATGTAAATCATTCAGGAATTTGTTTAGTGTTAGTTGTAGTATACTTGTCTTATCTGGGTTTTTAGTTTTAACATGTTTCAATGGAACTTCCATTTATCTCCTGAGAAGATCGGTTGAAATGTCTTATATTCTCTGACACTTTCTCTCTTGCCTTCCTTGGCCTCAGTTGATTGGCTGCATCATTGGCCGTCAGGGGGCTAAGATCAATGAGATCCGTCAGATGTCCGGGGCTCAGATCAAGATCGCCAACCAAGTGGAGGGCTCTTCTGACAGGCAAGTGACCATCACCGGCTCCCCTGCCAGCATCAGCCTGGCTGAGTACCTGATCAACGCCAGGTAAGGGACAACCCGTTGGAACTACTGATATGTCAAGTCATGGTTCAGAATAAGAGGACTATTATGACTAGGAAATCAAAGCGACTTGTTTTGATTCACCTCTTGTTTGTTATGTTGCTGTAGGCTGTCCTCTGAAGCTACTGGACTGGCAGCCAACTGACATGGAGGATCTTCATCAGCACCTGACGTAACCCCCCCTACTTTTTACCGAGAGGTCCCTCACTAAAGTTAATGCAAAAACCAAGTTCTCAACTTACTGTTTTTTACTTTCCTTTGGGTAAACACCTACCTACTCAGCTGTAATTACATCAAGGTATTTTATTTATTTAATGTTTTTAAAAAACCCTTTGCATATAGTTTTTTAAAGATATTTTGTTTTTGGTTGTTCTTTTTTTGGTGTATTTATGTTTTGACCTTAATAGCTGGGGAAGAAACGTTTTGGAAAAATCTGAAAAGGAATATATGTTTTTTATGTCAGATTTTTCTTACAAAATGTAAAAAATGAAGAAAAAAAGACCCAATAATAACATACTAGATGGACTGTTCCTTCCCTGTATTTGATGATTTGTATTTATTGTTTATTTAATACACACCAGTCCTCCTGTTAGAATTCACTGATATTTGCCATTCTTTAAAGCTGAACTTCCTAAATGAGGCATTGTGGGTAATGGGTATACGTGGGGTGTAAATGATGTACTCTTAAGATGTAACGAAAGACAAGGTCAGAAATGAATTGAAACGTCTCTGAAGTGGGGCTATGTGGAGTGTTTTTAACTGAATTCTGTCACCTCTTATTTGCTGTATTATTATTTTGTCATTCCCGTTTTCATCCGTTTTAATTTTTTCCTCAATCAGGACATTTGAGTGTTGTTAATGTGTACTGGATTCTGGTAGGGTGGGTGTGGGCATGGTAACCCGGAGACAATGGGCCAGGGGGATTCATTTATTTTCTCTGAAATTATTAAGAAGATAAAAATTGATAATGTTGGAATATTTGTTTTGAATAGAGAATATTTTTTTTAACTGCAGGGGTGGGAGGGTGCTGCAAGGGGCAAAACAAAACAATTATTGTGTGTCTTTATATGACAAGACTTGAGGCATTCATTTAAATAACTAGAAGGAAGATTCTAGAATTAACACTAGTTTCCTGCTATCTCCTTTGCCTGTATCAGATTTAATTTTTTATTATTCTTTGCAGGATGAAGAAACTTACGTTTTTGTGCACGTTTTCAAACTATTGTAGATTTGGGTGCAACTGAATTGTTGAAGAACTTCAATACATAAATAAAAAGATGTGAAATGCTAAAACTACCCCTGGATGTAAGCTGTCATTTTGTATTTATATTTTTACCCCAGGAAAGATGTGAGTAAAACAACTGCCTGAGCCCACTGAATGAGAATGGAACAAAGCAGTTGTACTGCACATTTCAGTTTGTTTAGCTTTTTCAACTGTATTTTACTTTTGTCATACAGGGGTCTCACCTAAGTTCTGTAAGAAGCTTGTTCACAATATAACAGACCTGTCACACCTCAGAAGATTTACCAATACAGTATTTATTTTCTTGCTCATGTTTTGATATAATTCCTATGTTACAGTACAATGTGCAATGCTGTATAAAAACAAAACCTCTTGAAATTCAAAGGATACTTACTATTCCACTACTACCACCAGAGAGCAGTATTCTATCTTTGTTCTGGCTAGTTTCTTTGATCTTTAAAGGGATGTGTATTCAAAACCCGGTGGTAGGAGAGTTAAGATAAAAGTATGACTTCAACATTATCAGCTGAGGGACCTATCCATGAAACAGTTCAAACATTTTGGTGAGATGTTCATTCACCTTTGATATAACCTTTTAAGTGCCAACATCAATTCATTAACAACAATTGTTATGGAAATAATACTTTCAGGGTAGAAAAGTGTAAACCTTCTCACAAAATATAAAACAGACACATCCAAAACTTAATATAAATGTGTAGTCATGCATTTGTTAATTGGGCTGCATACTGCTTTTTTTTATACATCAGTTCTTATCTTACATGTAAAATATATTTAGATTTTTTTTTAATGTGATATGTGAATATATACATTATTATTCATTTGCATGGGAGAAATGAGTGAATTGGACATTAGGCTCCTCCAAGAGCTGTGATGGTAAAGTACCAGTTGACAAATGGAAAGTGTGCGCATGTGTGTTTGTGTCTGTCTGTGTGCGAGGTTTTTTTGCTGAACTGGAGCCGTGTCTAAAGGTACCTGTATTAACGCTTGACCTAAACCCTCTATAAAATGAAATCTAAACAAGTCATCTATCACAAGCTGTCCTAACAACTGCTGTCAGTTTATAACAAATCATCTGTGTTGTCTTATGAAGGCTTGCTAACTAACAAACCCATATTGCTGCACGAGACACTGTTAACTTGTCATAGCCTGAGCTCAGTTGATGTGACCCCTCATGTCCTGCTTTAGATACTGGCGTAGGTAGACTCTGTGATGGTCGTTTACTGTAAGGTAGCTGTAGTTCTATAGTGTCCAGTGTGTTGGCTCTATTGAGGCCCTGTCTGGGGCCCCTGAGGAGACCCTTGTTGGGGCCCAGAATGGTATCCTGATGGAGGTGCCCAGGCCCCAGCGCTGGGTGGACGACTGGGCTCCCCGCTTCCTGACTGGTCAAGCTCAGCGCTGTCGCAGTCCGAGTCGTCGCACAGGGCCCGACTCTGAGGTAGAGGAAGAGGAGAGAAACATTATGCTAGAGGTAGATGACAAACAACTGAAACCTCTGAGTTATGGGAGGTGTTAATGGTTCTAGTCTATGGAAGTAGTGTATATCAGAAACTAGTGGTGGGGAACAGATAAACTACACTGAACAAAAATATAAATGCAACATGTAAAGTGTTGGTCCCATGTTTCATGAGCTGAAATAAAAGATACCCAGATAATTTTCCATATGCACAAAAAGCTTATTTTTCTCTAATTTTGTTCACACATTTGTTTACATCCCTGTTAGTGAGCATTTCTCCTTTGCCAACCACAGACCACGTGTATGGCGTCATGTGGGCGAGTAGTTTGCTGATGTCAACGTTGGGAACAGAGTGCCCCATGGTGGCGGTGGGGTTATGGTATAATGCATAAGCTACAGACAATGAACACAATTGCATTTTATCAATGGCAATTTGAATGCACAGAAATACCGTGATGAGATCCTGAAGCCCGTTTCTTTTAAGGTATCTGTGACCAACAGATGCATATCTCTATTCCCAGTTATGTGAAATCCATAGATTAGTGCCTAATTTATTTATTTTAATTGACTGATTTCCTCATATGAACTGTAACTCAGTCAAATCTTTGAAATTGTTGCATGTTGCATTTATATTTTTTCAGTGTAATTACAAATAACACAGGGTATATATCCAGTATTAGAGAGAGATAATTGTGTTACCTCATTAGGATTCTGTGAAGAGTCCAGCAGGGCTTTGACCTGGCCCAGGGCTCCCTCCCTCTCAGACAGCCCGCCAGAGGCCTGCACCGGGTCAGTGTTGTCTGCTGGGATCTCTGACCCCTGCGACAGGAGGTCATCGCTGCGGTCGCCCAGACGGTCATCCGTGTTGGTGCTGACGACGTCCGGCGTGCCGCTATGGGAGTGGTCGGTGGTGTGGCCCTCTTCGCCATCCGACACAGAGAGGTTCTCCGAGCTGAAGGTAGACACCAACTGGCACTTGGTGATGCTGGTCGGACGTCTGGGGAGAAGAGGGAGATAAAAGAAGAGAGGAATCTAGTTTTGTTTCAGTTTTGATTAATTCATTTGATTCATATTGTATAGTCCAATTGAATAGTCATTGAATAGCCACTTACAACACCACTTATACTAGCTACACAAACATCTCTGATTGGAATTGTTATCTTTTACAAATGTTATTTTCATAATGGTACCAAACCCTATGACTCCTAAAATCATATCACATTTAGTGAAGATATCAAAGATGAGATAAGAAGATATTTTTGTCTGTTTGTTGGTGAACTACATGTAATTCAACTAGTAATTTAACTACATTTTGCAGTAGCTTGGTGGTAGTTGAACTAAACTCTAATGTTGGTAGTGTTTTCAGTAGTTTTGCCAAGTAGCAATGTAGCTAACTACTGGAATTGCACATGACCTTTTTTGCTAAAATTAAACATGGGTGAAGTAGGCAACAATTACCTTTCTTTTTCGACATCAGACCTGCCTAATTCTAACTTAAAACACAGTTTTTGTGTTTAATAGGCTAAATTACACATTCTGTTAACTTCTGACTCCAGAGTGATCTATCCTTGCAATTTGTAGTCTGTGACATTTCAGATTTAGATATGAAAATGTATCACAAAGTAGTTTGGATGTAATGAACTACTTTTTCAAAGTAACTTTAGTTATGTAAACTATATTTTTCTTAAGGATAGCTTTAGTGTAGCTTAACTTATTCCAGTGTGAAGTAATTAGTAGCTTGGTAAACTATCTATTTCCGAGTAGCTTCCCCAACACAGCTCACCGTCTCCGTGGCAACTCCACCTCGCTGTCAACCTCCCCCTCCTCCTCCTCTGAAGACACGCCACGCCTCTGTGGACACAGCAGAGAAAACAGAATGGGTTAGCTAACACATTCACAGAGATGAAAGGAGAGAGTACATACTAAACATGACTAGCTTTCATTGGGACAGTACCTGTTTGCGTGCAATGGCTGCCCTGTACAGGATAGCTGAGGGGGTGAGATGCCCTGATGCCCCCCGGGGTAACCTCACACCACTCACTCCCTCTTCCTTATCGTCGCCATCATGGGGCAGGCGTGGGGCGCCCAGCACAGACCCCCTCCCGGCGGCCGCCCCCCTCCCACATGGTGAGTCTGGGCTGCTAGAGAAGGGGAACGAGGCCGCGTCCTCGCTGGGCGTGTCGCTACGCGGGGGGGTCTCTGTGAGGTCATCCAGACCCCCCGCGCCCCCCTCGGACCCCCCCAGGCCCGCGGAGGCGCTCAGGCTGCCAACGGTGGTTTCTCCTTTCCCTTGACCCTCAGCCGCCAGTGTGGTGCAGATGAGGTCCGGGCTGGAGGAGGACAGCTGCCTCTGCTGCTGCTCGTGGCCCAGGACCCGCAGGGCCACGCTGGGGTCCAGGAGCTGCTTGGAGGGGCCCGTGCTGGAGCTGTTGGCCTGGGCAGGGTTGTCCCCGTTGGGAGAGGGTTGAGTGGCCTTTAGGCCGGCAAGGTCCCCGCTGCTGCCCTTGCCAGGCTTGCGGTGGCGGGTCTTGACCCTACGCGAGCGGCTGGGGGACGTGGAGCCCCTGTTGGGGCAGGAGGGGATAGTGACCTGCATCACGGAGGAATCCATCTTGGGAATGATCACCTCTGACTTGAGGATGTCTGGCCTATGAGAACAGGATAGAATAGGAAACGATGGTCAGATACACTGTGAAATAATCAAATCTTCAGCTATTAATAGTGGTTTCAATTGAGTATTTAGTTTTGCATGATCCACCTCCTTATAGGGTTCACATAAGAACTACTCTTTTCTCCTATGCTTTTGGCTCTCAGAATGAACTCTCACCTCTTTCCAGAGGGCAGTTTCTGTGGGACGTTTCTCTTCTTGATGAGTTTGTCCATGGAGTTGGAGGAGCTAGTCTGTCTGGAGCTGTGGTGCTTGAACAGTCCTGGATACTTCTTATCTAAAGACTGCTCTCTCCTAGGAACACATCGAGAAATCGAGAAACTAGTCTGTTCTGCATATTCTATTTCTATGACCATAACCCCAATTACCAGAGACTATTTATCAACTCATTTTCAAACACTGCATGTTCAGAATGTCTATATGCCATAATAGCTGATATGATTTATGTGCTAAATTAGACTTGTCTTTATTCAAATGATCCGAGAATTAGCTAACCAACTAAACAAGCATCGAAGTGCTTTGACTGAGGGAGCCACCTACTTCTGCAACTCTTTCTCTTTGAGCTCCAGCTGCAGCATGACAGCGTTAAGCTCCATGTAGAGATTGTTGGTCCTCTCCAGCTTCCTCTCATAGTGCTCACGGATGTCCAGAGCGTGCCTGAATAGAAAAGAGCGCACAAATGACCTCATGCTCCGCATGAAAGGATCCAAGAAATGTGCCCTGAGACTTTTATTTCTATCTCTTTCTTTCTTTTTTCTATCTTCAAAGATAGATAGATTGGATAAAAAGGAACTGTAGACATTAGATGTTAGTGCAACTGCCTGTCTACATGACCCTGGGATTACTGTACTATAGTTTCAAAGCTCATAACAAAGCACTGCCCACTGGACACACACTGGTTGAAGCAACGTTGTTTCCACGTCATTTCAATGAATTGAGTCTGGGCCCAGTGGGTGATGGTTTTCTCTTATACTATCCTGGCATAGCACCACTTCCAGCAGCTAAAAGAGAAAAGTAACTCTGCCTGTCAGAGTGTTGTGGTACAGACCTGAGCTCCTCTCTGCGTCGGTTGATCAGTTCCTCGTCCAGTCGGTGCAGACAGGTCCCCTCAGACTTAATCTTCTCAAAGTGCTGCTTCACCTCCTCCCGCCACTCAGCCTGCGCAACTCACACACACACACACACACACACTTAGACACTGGGTATGTGTGTGTGTGTACACGTGCATGCACACATTTGTGCACTCATATGTGTTCACTTGTGAATGTGTTTGTTTGTGTATAAGTTCATTAAATTGTGTGAGATATAGTGTAGAGTAGGCTACCTGAGACTTGAAGTATGTCTCCTGTGGGGTGGAGAGTACATCAGCTGAGGCTATATCCAGATGGAGGAGGATCTGACGGAAAGAGGGTCTATTTCTGGGTTTACAGTTCCTGCAAAGCCAAGGAGATATTTTCAGTCAGAGACCACTTTGTATATGTACTGTATAATCAATATGGTTGTACATGGGCCAAGTCTACCTGGGAAAGATTTAAAAGGAGAGAATTTCCCGCTATCTATTTCCACTGCCGCCTCTCACCTCTCTCTCCTCTTTTCCACCATCCCTCTCCCTCCATCGCTCCCTCCCTCCCTCCCTCCCTCCCTCCCTCCCTCCCTCCCTCCCTCCATCTCCACTCACCAGCACTGCCTCAGGAGGATTTTGAAGCCATCTGGGCAGCTCTCTGGGATAGGGAGGTTCAGGCTGTTGTTGCCCACCCCCCATATGATGGCAGAGGAGTCCACATCCTTATAGGGGACCTCCCCGGTCAGCATCTCCCACAGCACCACCCCAAATGACCTGCAGTTCACAACATATATATTAGTGATTACTGATATTAGTGATCACTGAGATGGGATTGCATTGGTCCTCTTTTCTATGGCCAAGAAGTTTAATTCCTTCACTTACCAGATGTCCACCTTCTCTGATACGGGTTCATTCCGAATGACCTCTGGGGCCATCCAGGCCACCGTACCAGCAAAGGACATCTTCATGCTCTTATCAATGAGCTCCTTGGAGGTGCCGAAGTCAGAGATCTTCACTAGGTCATCATGGGTAATCAGCATACTGCCATGGATAGAAAGAAAACCACTATTATTGTAGATGTTCTTAAGCCAGAAAGAGCTCATTGATTCATTTGGGGACTTCTGGTCTCTATAGGCCAGGGGTGGGCAACATACAGCCTGCGGACCTGATTTTGCCCGCGAGCCCATTCAATCCAGCCCGTGGGAGGTTTGAGTAAAAATCAGGACACTCTTGAACGGACCTATACGTTTTTCAGATCATTTTTCTGGCCCGCAAATTGGTTTTGACTAACAAATCGATCCGAAACAAATCTGTGCGGTCCCTCCACTGAATTTGGAAATCCCGATGTGGCCCTCGAGCCAAAATGATTGCCCAACCATGATATAAGTGGATGTTTTTGATAATATCCAGCACAGGGACTCACTTGGGGGACTTGAGGTCTCTGTGGATGATCTTGTGGAGGTGCAGGTAGTTCATGCCCCCGGCGATGCCCATGGCCCAGTCAATGAGCAGGGAGGGGGTGATCTTCCTGCCCGCTCTCAGCACCTCATACAGCTGGCCCTGGGCACAGTACTCCATCAGGATACAGTAGCAGGGAGCCTGGGTGCAGATACCCCTTGGGGACAAAGAGAGGGAGGGAGGGAGGGAGGACGGGAAGGAGAGGGACAAGGATAAAGAAAAATAGAGTCAATGCGTGATGATGTCATAGATGGTTTGCAAGTTACTGTTGGTCTAGGCTACAATAGCTCGGACCAACAGTTGGGGATATGTTTATACGTTCTACTACTGGTCTCTTGGGGTCAGGGTCAGAGAGTTTTTCTCACTTGAAGGTGATGATGTTGGGGTGCTTGAGTTTGCGTAGGTGCTTGATCTCCGTCTCCTTGATGTCCCGGACTTTCTTGACGGCCACATCCTCTCCATGGAACTTCCCCAAGAACACGGCCCCCTGGGCCCCGCTGCCAACCCACTGCAGGTCCGAGATCTCTTCAAATGGAACCTCCCAGGATTCTAAGAACGCAACATCAACACAAGGAAGCAGTCAGTGACAGGCTGTGGGTGGCAGATGGCTCCAAGCAAACCAGCTGAGATGTATCATATAAACGACATCATCTGTTGCATTTTAATGGTCCACATGGGACAGACATAAACAACCGAGACTTTCCTGTGAAAAAAAGTACTTAATATCGACACATTAGTAGGTGTTTTCCCCCTGTTATAGCATCATAGCTCACGATTGGATCAATATGTGCAGTGTACAGTAAGATGGCAGTTGAACAGAGAGATGTAGAGGCAAACAGCTGCACATCTCCCCAAAGCTAATCTCTCATCTCCCATAATCTGTCATAAGAGTACAGTAGATAGCTGAATGACTGAGAGTTTGGTCACTGTGAGAAGAAAGAAGCCAGTAGGCGGAAAAAGAGACAAGCAGATTAATTCTGGATGAGGTCCACTGAAGTTTTGTGGTCTCCAGGGACCTGCTGCTGTAGAGGCAGCTGCTCGTGTCGTCTCGCAAACCAGCTGTGAATCCGCTACTGTAGATAAGACTGTGAATGAGGCTAGTGCACAGGTATCATCAGCAGCATTTTGGGGGAGAGTAGGGGATGGTGGCAGGAAGGCATAGTGAGAGATATAAAAAGAGAGAGAAATGTAAGCCATTTTAGTGAATACCCTCCAAAATGAAAAGTAGGGAGGAAGAGCAGCATCTCGAAGTTGAACCTTTTTATTGGATATACAATTCATCACCATGGTTACGGATTTACCTCACCATCTTGACACAGTGAATGACTAACATTTCAAGTGACAAAAGATTCAGTGTCCATGTATTTCTGTATTGGTTAAGGTATTCAGTATCCTAAAAGTATACAAAAGTCTTTATTATACACATATGACCTTGTACTGTAGGGACAAAGAACTGGCTGTTATACTCACTCCACACACCTTCCTGGTTATGCTTGTGCTCGGGGGAGTATGCTTTCCCGATCATGGTCCAGACGGGTTTCAGGCAGCCAAACAGCCCCTCCAGGAACCCTCCACTTCCTTGCTGCAGCCGGATGTTGTCTGACTGGCTACGGACGGCCCCAGCCTCCGAGCTAAGCCCCGCCTCTGCCCCGCCCCCACACTGGCAGGCCTCATGCTCGTGTAACTTCAGCACGCTGTTGTCAAAGTGGGCCGGGGGCCCGTCGCTAGGGGTGGGGCTGCTGCCACAGGTGTGGGGGCACCCCTCACCCCCGCCTGGCACCCCTGGTGCCCCCCCTGTGTCGATGGACAACACGTTGCGCAGGACACACTGGGTGGGGGTCAAGTCGGTCTCTGGGGTGCAGGCGGGGGTGTCTGCATCCAACCTGCGGAAGGGGGGCTCTGAGATAGGGGTGCTGAAGCCTGAGAGAGAGGGGGAGGGGGCGCGGGGCTCATGGAGGCAGGTCCCACTCATCAGGGGGTCCCACAACACAGTAGCCAGGGATGGATGGGAGTAGAGAGGGAGAAGGGGAGGCCTGGATGGGGAGACACAAAAAGGAAAAGGAAAGAAAAAATGCAATGAATCACTATAAATCAGTATAATCCATTAATACCTACTATTTTGGCTGTTTTGGAGCTCTCCAGTGCTGAAATATACCTGTCTCTCGGATTCACATTCAAAACAGTGTTTTCTGTATGTTTGGCCTTGTCAGTATGATACATACAGTGGCTTGCGAAAGTATTCAGCCCCCTTGGCATTTTTCCTATTTTGTTGCCTTAAAACCTGGAATTAAAATTTATTTTGGGGGGGTTTGTATCTTCACCAATTTGGACTATTTTGTGTATGTCCATTACATGAAATCCAAATAAAAATCTATTTAAATTACAGGTTGTAATGCAACAAAATAGTAAAAATGCCAAGGGGGAAGAATACTTTTGCAAGGCACCGTATACTCTCAGAAAAAAGGGTATGGTTAGGGTCAGTGGAGTACCACAGTTTTTCGAGGCCACCCCACAAGGTCCGAGCAAGACTATAACATGTGCAGTTTTATAGCTAATCTCATGCTATTCTACAAATTTTGCCATGGGGCAAAGAGAAACATTTTCAGTTTTAAAGCTAATTTCCTGTAATTATAAACATTTTGCCATGGCTTATGACGTGTTCATACAGTGCATTTGGAAAGTATTCAGACCCCTTGACTTTTTCCACATGTTGTTATGTTACAGCCTTATTCTAAAATAGATTTTTTTTTATTCCCCTTATCAATCTACACAAAATACCCCATAATGACAAAGCAAAAACAGGTTTTTACAATTTTTTGCAAATACATTAAAAATAATAAACTGAAATATCATATGTCCATAAGTATTCAGACCCTTTACTCAGTACTTTGTTGAAGCTCCTTTGGCAGTGATTACAGCCTCGAGTCTTCTTGGGTATGACACTACAAGCTTGGCACACCTGTATTTGGGAAGTTTCTCCCATTCTTCTCTGCAGATCCTCTCAAGCTCTGTCAGGTTGGATGGGGAGCGTCGCTGCACAGCTATTTTCAGGTCTCTCCAGAGATGTTCGATCGGGTTCAAGTCCGGGTTCTGGCTGGGCCACTCAAGGACATTCAGAAACTCTGGCTGGGGCACTCCTGCGTTGTCTTGGCTGTGTGCTTAGGGTCGTTGTCCTGTTAGAAAGTGAACCTTCGCCCCCAGTCTGAGGTCCTGAGCGCTCTTGGTTTCATCAGACCAGAGAATCTTGTTTCTCATTGTCTGAGAGTCCTTTAGGTGCCTTTTGGCAAACTCCAAGCCAGCTGTCATGTGCCTTTTACTGAGGAGTGGCTTCCGTCTGGCCACTATACCACAAAGGCCTGATTGGTGGAGTGCTGCAGAGATGGTTGTCCTTCTGGAAGATTCTCCCATCTCCACAGAGGAACTCTGGAGCTCTGTCAGAGTGACCATCGGGTTCTTGGTTACCTCCCTGACCAAGGCCCTTCTCCCCCGATTGCTCAGTTTGGCTGGGCGGCCAGATCTAGGAAGAGTCTTGGTGGTTCCAAACTTCTTCCATTTAAGAATGATGGAGGCCACTGTGTTCTTGGGGACCTTCAATGCTGCAGACATTTTTTGGTACCCTTCCCCAGATCTGTGCCTTGACACAATCCTGTCTCGGAGCTCTACGGACAATTCCTTTGAACTCATGGCTTGGCTTTTGCTCTGACATGCACTTTCAACTGTGGGACCTTATATAGACAGGTGTGTGCCTTTCCAAATCATGTCCAATCAATTGAATTTATCACAGGTGGACTCCAATCAAGTTGTAGAAATATCTCAAGGATGATCAATGGAAACAGGATGCACCTAAGCTCAATTTCGAGTCTCATAGCGAAGGGTCTGAATGCTTATGTAAATAAGGTATTTATGTTCTTAATGTTTTATAAATGTGCAAAAATGTCTAAAAACCTGTTTGCACTGTATGATCTCACATGGTACTGTTCTGTACCTTTTAGGGTACATTTGCGGATAATCTAGTATAATGTTACATTTTTGTACCCAATATTTGGAATATAAAGGTACAATCGTAGGAGGCGTGGCTTGGTGGGGGCGTGGCTTTCAGGTTATTTTTGGCCACCCATGAGTGAAAGTGGTGTACCAGTTTAAGTTGTCTATAATTATGTTAATTAATGTTTGAGAGTGTCTGCTGCCAGGTCTGAAGTCTTTATAAATGCTTACATAAGAGCATGTGACAATATAGAGCTGTAATTAATATTGTAGTGACATTAACCCAACACTGAGCAAACTAGTCTTGGCTTAATGATTAAGGTGTTGATGTGACAGTTGCTGGATCCATGTTTGAGTCCCAGTGGGAGCTACCTCCATGAATTTGCTACACTGGTGTCAGAAGTGGGATGGCGGAGAGGCATGAACATGTGAGGGACTTGGTATAGAGAAGAGGTACATTTTTGTCACTTAAAAGGAACAAACGGCTTTGTCACTGTGGTACTCTAAAAAGGCACATTTGTACGAACTGCAAGGATACAATTATATACCTATAACTTATAGTACAATGGATGTATCTTACAGGGCACCACTACAGTGACAAGCATTTGTACCCCTTTAAGTACAATTCAGTACCTTTTTTTAGTTTAAGTAAAGTAGAAATTATTGTAATCAAGTCAACTACATAGGTGTTGTTCACTCAGCAGAAAGACTGTCTGTAACAGATGAAACATCAAACAGATGGGCCTTACTTTGCAGGAGAGGAGAGGGAGAGAGAGAAAAAAATGACTACAAGGAATCAAAAAATCTTGCTTTGCCTTTCTTTTTTTTAAACACTCCTGTGAGAGCAAGTCAACCATTTCATCCCATTTCTCCTCAATAAAGACTCAATGATTCAGTAAACCACATTTTAATATATATGAATGGGATTGAGGCAGTCAAACAGGGCCAAATCATCTGGAATGGGAGATAGTTTTATGAATGAACCAGGGAGATAGCACTGACCACAGTATAAACCTGACCTTTATCCCCAGGGTGATTCCTTTAGGAGCGTCACCATAGGTCAGGAAAGCCTATATACTTTTTTACATGATGGATATGGATGGTACACTGTTGGAATTAATAAGGATGAGTAAGCTACTATGCTTCTTCTGGTACTGTATGCATTGAATGGAACATACAGTCCTGTTACATGCTTGGCTTGACAGTGTTATGCTGCAGTCTATTCATATACAATACCGTACATGTTTCAGTCATGCCATTTTATCTCTATAGAATATGACGAAATTGCATAACTAACCCATTGAGGTGTGTGTGTGTGTGTGTGTGTAAGAGAGAGAGAGAGGGAGAGAGAGAGAGAGAGAGAGAGAGAGAGAGAGAGAGAGAGAGAGAGAGAGAGAGAGAGAGAGAACTGCCACATGTACCCAATTCACATTATACGGCAGCCCCTTACTCTGTACTGCACCACCGCATGAGAACCGCGACGATCGAGCGAATAGAGAGCGTTAAATGGGAAAAACACTGGGCCACAGTGGGAAGGAGCACTTTCGCTCACAAATGCCGGAAGATCTATCTTTAAATAACCAAGGATGTGATGATGACACCTACTAGCATCACAGTCGACGTGCATGAATTAAAGCCCGAACCGTACGAGTCCATCCATGCCAAGTCTAACTGCCGCATCGTCTGTAGATTTACTTAATGTTGGCACCAACACAAACATATTTCGTAATAGATTATCATGCTGCTGCACAAATATGATCTCTCGCATTAATCAGCGATTATAGATTGACGTGGTGGTACGCTACAATGTGAACAGAGTACACTGCATGAGGCAAAGGCAAACCTACATGAACATCTCATAGTACCTGATTTCCTATTTGATCTATAATACTTGATAGTATGACATTCACATACCTTTCTGCCTGGTTGATGTCGCGTTGTCAAGTACGGGATGGATTCAGCTTTCTATATGCGATAATAAAGCACAATTGTCGTTTTTCCTCGCCGGACTGACTGTCGTTTTATTGCGTGAAAGTCTCTTTCCACGAGTTCACGTTATCAGAACGAATCCCAGCGGGCAAATTGTGTTATCAATAACCGGGGAACCATGGAACGTGAGTCGCGCGCTGGGTTGGGGGAGGGAGCTGTCTCCTTCCCAGTGCTGAATTGACGTCACGGAGTTGCAAGCTACCCACAAGGGGGCACGAATACCGCCCCCACACAATTGTACAGTGGTTTCCATCTTTTCAGCAAACGTTTCATAAACTGTCTTCGAGTCATGTGAGTTCCACTGACTACTCTGTTCTTCGTTTGAGAGGATGCCTTTGGAAATGTTTTGCACACACAATTGATGGTTTAAATACGGTACGGTAACGTGGGGTAACTAGCCCACCGTAAGAACAATGTCCAATTGCTGACACAAAAAAAATAAAGTTTGGTAAAACATTTGGTATATGGATGATGGTCATGCTTAGGAAAACAAACTATGAAGACAAATAAGTGGCTGCAGTTTACACTTTTTAAATCAAATAATATCAAATAACTTGCCCCCCCCCCCCGAAGATTAGTGTGTTAAAAAAAATGTTTTTTTATGTGTTGAGTGATTAACTAAATTAACTACTGATTAAGCTAAAGTCTAAGTATCAAATATTGAAATAAAATGCCACTGTACATCTCACTATTAATACCCTCACTATGATGAGGTTTTAATGTAAGGTCCCTCTTTTCATTTTCCTGTCAAATCATGTCCACATGATCCTAAAATATCTAAAAAAATGACTATGTAACTCAATTAAGTTATTTGTAGACGATTTGGATATGATTTGGAAAATGCTAATTTAGGTATAATTGACTTGAATTGGATCTAATTTATTTAGATTATATATATTTAATGAATGGAGTATACATATATATATATATAGGGGAGAACAAGTATTTGATACACTGCCGATTTTGCAGGTTTTCCTACTTACAGAGCATGTAGAGGTCTGTAATTTTTATCATAGGTACACTTCAACTGTGAAGACGGAATCTAAAACAAAAATCCAGA